AAAAAATGCTGAAAAGAAAAGTCATATAAAAATAGTTTATTATAATTTCTTATTGAGTTAAAAAATATTATAAAAATAATTTCTAAAATTTTCTTACTTCTCCCAGTTGTTACATTTGCAAAACTCTTTGCGCCGCCAATAAAATGGAGTGGTTATCCACCAGCGCTGAACATATGAATTCGCATGCCATGCATTTTCCCTGCTTACGCGGCAGCAGCAATAATGGTCGTGATAATGTCAGCCTAAGTGGCAATGGCAACACTGCCAATAATAATGATAATAATAATCGTGTGCTTGCCTGTAAGGATTGTGTGAATTATTTGGCACGCCAGTGGGAGACAATGGATGCTGAGCGCGTGCCATTGGAGCATCGAAGGTACAACTCAAATACTTACATACCTATACATACGTTTTCATTTAACTTTATATACTTATATTTACAGATATAATATACCTTCGCCGATGATCACTTCGAGCTCACCAAATGGCTCACGTCATGGTGGCCTAACCATAACTACACCACCGTCTACGCCTTCCGTGTCTTCAACACCTGCCAGTACATCGATTTATTGTTTTCTATGTGGCTTGCATTCGGATTTGACATTGGCGCGCGTCTTGTATGCGAGCAAAGAGGTAAGTTTTGTATATTTTTGTGGAAGGATTATTTTTTGGTCTTAGGCAAGAAGTAAAGAAAATATTATTATACATACGGGGTCTGTGGTTCCACGTTATTATAAATATTCTGAACTTACTTTTTACTCGGTTAAACCACATACATATGTTTGGTTAGTATTAAATACAATACAGTTACTTCATATGTTTCAGTTAGTTCTGGCAAGAAATATATGTTTATCTAATAAAAGGCCATTCGGGTAGCGAAACGTATTTTGAAAATTACTAAATGACTAAACTTTACCGCAACGCAATGACTAAACTTTACCGCACATCTTATCTAAAGAATTTGCAATAAATTTTACGCCTGATTTTTAGCTCTATATTATTTTTATATAATATTATGAATTTAATCATCCGTTTTTTTTTTCTTAAATTTAGAACGAAAAAACAATGGTTTTGAGGTCTTAGCCGACTATAATACTATTCGTTCTATATACAGTACTACATAATATATAATATTTTTCGTACTCCAATTTGCACTGTTATGGTAGCAAATATATTCGAATGCTAATAAAAAAAAAAAAAGTTAACTTCGGTTACACTGTTTAACTTTCATCATTCAGTTTGTTTGGCARCTATATGATATAGTGGTCCTATCTGAACAGTTTCTTCGGATATTGCATCATTACCTTAGAAAATAAACCGCAAAATTCTTTTATGATATCTCGCCAATTAAAAAAGATTTACATACAAGAATTAGATTCCGATGGCTCAGTTTCTATGGAAGCTATATGCTTTAGTGATCCGATATGAATATTTTCTACGGGGATTAAACCATTGTCTTAGACAATAATCCATGTCCGTTCCCACGACAGTCGGGTCTACGAAAACCGGAACGGACCCTGATTTTCATCCGGCCAAGGACTGTCAACTCGGCATAATTCTGCCGTTACAAAAACAACATATTTTGTGAAGATATCTCGTGTATGACAGCTGCATTATATAGTGGGCCGTTATCGGCCGTTTAGATAAATGAGCAGCTTCTTGGTGAAAAAAGGACAGGTGCGAAATTTCTGAACGATATTTCAAAAAATGAGAAACTAGTTGGCATATGTACAGACGAACAGATGGGCGGACAGACCCAAATGGCTAAATGAACTCAGCTCGTCACGCTGTTCATTTATATATATACCTTATAGAGTCTCTGACGTTTTTTAGGGTGTTACAAACATCGTGGCAAACTCAATATACCGTGTTCAAGTTATAATTATATTCAAATGTCAACATTGAAGAACTTTTCGTGCTTGGTACTACTTGTTATTGTAATATATAAAAATACTCACATATTTTTGAACATTATTTTCAAATTACAGCTTCATGTTCGAATATTTTTCGCTTTGATTGCTAGCGTTTGTTGTTGTCGTGGTTCTTGTGGCCTTCTTTCCCCACGAAGTTTTGAAGAATTCCCCCGTAGTGACAATTCTTTTTAAATATTTTTTATTGTAATTTTTACTTTATTTTTTAATATATTT